ATTAATTGTAATTGTAAATTATTAATTATAAATTATTAATTATAAACATGTAAATTATTAATTTTAATGTGGATTTTATATTTTGCCTATATTTTTTTCATTCAATTCGGACGAATCGTAAATTTGGGCTATGTCATCCTCGGTAGCATTCCGGTAAACTGGGGTTGATAGTACACATATAGAACTAAAATAAAAATTTGTATAACCAAAAGCATCTTAAAAAAATAAGTTAAAATTTAATAAAATTATTTTTTTCTGTTTCGATACAATTTAAATCATGGACCTCTCCTCCCGCTAATTTGATATGACTGGGCTTCTTAAATTACATGTTAATATTTGTATCAGTTTGCCAGCTGACTGTAGTTTAGATTACCCAATATGGATTACAAAAATCAAAGAATAAATAATAAGAAATATATTTTCTCACCAGTGCTTATAAAAATGAGTCTTTCCATTTTAGCTAATCGAAATTTTAAAAAATCGATATTAAACTATTGAAATATTGAAGTCTTCTAATTAATCGCAGTCTGAGCCTAAACAGTAATATATCCTTACTTGAAATTACATAATATGCTTGAATATCTGTCCTGCAATTATTGAATTACTGAATGCAATTATTGAATTATTATAACAGCGATTAACACTGTTCACTTTTACTGTCATAACTTTTTCACCTACACCTCTAACTGCTGGTGAAGTTCTAAAGAACTATTCCCTAAACATTATAATCTTGGCTATAACGTATCGACTTTTTTCTCAGTGTATCAAAAAACGCACTGCTTCTAGTCACTAGATATATATACTTCTATTCTCAGGTCTTAATGAGATGCAAAATTAAAAGTGTGTTGCGTGCGTACGGATTCATAATAAATTGAATGTACAACTCCGATTAAAAGTGAATAAAATTTATTCTTATCGCAACAAATAAGAAATTTCCTCAGAGAGATTCGTACAATATCATAATATTTCACAGTGATTATATTTTAAACTCTTAAAACGTTTATTAGAACTTAATTAAAAAACGCTAATCCGATCTCATCATGAATTCGCTACAGTCAATAACAGCAGAAACAATAACAAGAAAACAACTTATAAAACAACTGAACTGAGATATTTTCCTTCAGCTTTTATAAGCTTTTTAATAAAGCACGAGAATTTTCTGTTATTTTCTCGATTTTTCTGGATAGCAAAAGAGTTCAATTACGAGATATCTATTTCTTAAAATGTTAAATTCGCGTACTTCTATATTTTAATTTTTCTGGCGTAGCTTTCTCTTCAAATAAGTCTCGTGCTGCATTGCACGGGAATATAAAACAATTTTAATTACAAGTTCTACTAGAAATAGCTAGCTAAATACAAACTTCGTAACAATAGTATTTCTAGGGCCGCTATCAAAATTAACAGGCCCACCATTGGCCAAGCAGGTAAAAACCTCTGAACAGTGGCAGATTGATCCGAATTCACATCCTTCCGAATGAACTGGCTAGATGGGAAACTTCGTAGTTCGCCCCATGTGTAATATGAACACGAAACAGGTTACGTTATAAAGTATCTCACCTCATAGGCAGATAGCATTAGTGTGTGCTTCCGTAATCTAATAAATCCAAATTTAAAAAAAAATTATTCAAAGTTAGTAAAGGAGAAAACTGGCTCTCACGTGACATGCTCAAAGGCACTTTGCCTTCTTAAAATTTTCTTTTTTCTCAATTTGCCAAAAACATTTTCATACATCTAAATCATGGGAAATGCATATAGATAATTTTTCCTTTATACCTTGTTTTAGCGCTTTATAAAATCAGTTGCTAATTATTTGTTTTCCGAGTGTTACCCAAGATGCCATCCGCTGCTAGCTCGAATTACCATTAATTCGAAAAGCAGTTAAAAATCATAGAAAACATATATAACCAATAATGTAATTAGCAGACAAATGTTATTAGTAATTTATTTGTCATTTTAAACAGTTTAATTTACAAAATAAGTTTTTTTGGTTAACCCGACCTTGTTGACCCTTCTCTGACGATCATTAACTTTGTTGTCTCTCCTCTGACGGAACTGGAACTGACTCTATGTCTAATACCAAAATATTTTATATGATGCATTTGCTATTTTAACGTTAATATGTACTCATGTTTATGGGACTCTTACTTCATCTGTGGAAGAACGGCAGAGCCTTATGAAGGTTATAAATAAGCATTTCTATTAAAGCTTGAACTTAAATGAAGGCACAACTTGTACGTACACCGTCACTCGCATGTTTTAAATAACAAAAATTAAATTTACAAATTTAAAATGGATTCGTAGCTTGAGACTACAGAGTTTGGACTTAACTATGATTGGCTCAAACTTTTAATGGCGCGATTTAACTTCAGCTAGCAAGAAGTCCTAGTCCAGAAGGTATTTATATTTATTATTCTAACTTAACAGAGCTAAGCTACAATAACAAATATAAATAATAATTTTTAATTTTTAATTTCAGTTTCCTTTGATTCAATCGAACTACATTTTATTACGATTTACAGCTCTGCTTTAATAAAACTAATAGTGCAGTGGCATCCGTATAAGAATATATTGGCAAGGCATTCCTTAATTGGGACGGGATCTTCACATCCCGTTCCATAACATGGTATGGAATATGAAGCTAAATCATCTGAAACGACTCTGATAATTAGAGAAATCTATCCGCAGACATTTGATAATTGTTACATTTTACAGTAATATAAAGCTAACTGTTAGACCACATCTATTTTTTCTCTTCTTATAACTAACTATACTTCATTAAACAAAACATATTCCATTCGATTTTACTCCTTCATTTATGAAGACTGTTTTAAATAAATCAACTCGGAAACAAATGTAAAACACAAACGTCAATTTTTATTGCTTCTGGGAGGTAAAAGATTTTCAAAAACACTCTTCTTGCTTAAAAGAGTAGAGCACTTTGAATCTCAATAATGCATTCTGGTATATGAAATGAAAATGACTTGAGTTCGATGTAATGGAATATTGAATGTCTCTGCTGAATGAAAGTAGAAATATGAATACAATGTTATTGTGCCTGCTAGTAGTATTATCATTGACTGAACCTTAAAAAATGCAGTAAAACTCTTCTTCTTGCCTGTCTATTTTACTGAGTTATAATACTGTGAGATATAAATTTCGCGGCAATACTTTCTAGATATATTTCTACATCTGTACTTCCTTTATAGTATATGAAGAAAATTTCATTTAGATTAAAAATGCAGTTATAAATAAAAGTAATTTTTTAACGAAAGGTTACAGAATGATACTCGGTAAGTAAAACGATAGAATAAAAAAGTAAAAAGTAAAAAATAAAAAATCTGAAAATTACGCTCAAATGGGCTTTTTTTAACATTTTGTGTGTTACCTTTATTAATATCATGTTCTTCGTACTTAAATCGTAAAATTCAATTCAACAGCAATATCACAAAATAATTTGAAAAGAGCATATCTTTAGAATCTCCTATACCCAGTCTCACGTGCTGGAAATAAAAATGTTTTTTGCCAGACAGTGTTGCCATTGCTCACTTTGAAACTTTTGAGTTTGTTAATCGAAAATTTGCTAAAGTTTTACAAAATATGAAACAGATTATAAAACAAATTCCAACTTCCAAATTTGGGCCTCCAGATGCCCATACTCAAATGGGGGATTACGCTATTTAAAAGGTAATCGTTTTAGGTACCGTTGTTTTATCACAGTGAGAGTAATATATATACATTTATGCAGATTCTTCATTATTTAATTTCTTTAAATATAGTACAGGATGTTACTATTTGGTGTCAACAATTTGAAAAGTGATATCGTCTTTCAAAGTTTTCAACGAAAAATGCAAAAACGAAATTAATACCATTTCTGGGCTAACGCCATTTGGACTAATAATATCAATTAGGAAACAGATAATTTAGAAACAAAATTGAAAATAATACTTTCGCGTAGATTTAGTACTTCTAGCTTCCCAATAGAGTCCATCTGTTAAGGAAAAATATTTGATTGCTGCCAATGCAATTTTACTTCTATACCTTCAAGAAATATTCAATAAAACACCCTTGAAAGTGTAGGAATTCACATCACTTCTTCCCCAAGAATTCATTCTTGTCTTAAGGTAGGTAGCCTTCATGTATTTTTCAATAATTAACCTAATTTTCCTCATCTTCTAAATAGATAATAGTATATTTTATGTACATCGGCCAGTATTTATAACGACATAAATAAACATCAATATTGATAAACATAATATTCTTTTTAAAAGTAACCTTTCTCTCTAACATGACCTAGACATAGTGGGGAAGATGAAAATTCTTTGTAAGACTTAAATATTTGTCATCACTGTATATAAATGGAGCAAAGGCACACAAAATCTGACTGTTAGGAGATCTTTTTAAGGGTGGTGTAAGGTATTTTTATCCACCTTTTTAAGGGTGGTGGATAGCTGAAGATAAGAGGTTTCCTACCATATTCAGCAGAGGCTTCTTGTTTGGGTGATCCAAGTCGGCATAGTGTTGAACGAAGGAGTCACGCTATCGGTACTCTACGCTCTGCGTGCAAGATCTAAAATCAGCAAAGCCCTTTTTACTACCTATGATTTTTCATAGGCTAATGACTTAATTAGCCTATGAAATAAGAAAATTAATGCAAAAATATATTGGAAGATCAATATAACTTACAAATTTTGAACTAATAAAACTTTCAACACTCGTATGTGTTCTTTAGTAGCTCTTGCAATTTAATAATAGGTTGCTGATAGAGAAAGTATTACAGAGTATTATTTTTAGAGAGCATTACACAAAGTATCATATCTCCATGACTTACAAATATTTTTTGTTATTAAAATGAGTTATCCTTTCAGTTCAAATTAGATATATGTTGATAATAAATATTGCAAAACAATTTCGATTTTAAAAATAATGCATATAAATTCCTTTATATCTTACAATTAAATTAACATTTTCATTTGCCACAATATGTGTATTTTTCTCAACAGTTGTGCGAGGGCGTTCCAATTTCGGAGCTTCTCTTATGGCTGAGAAAAGAAGGAAAATCTCTGTCTGAAGAAGAAATAGGAGCTCTCTTGAAAATATTTATGCTAGTAAGTAAAATTCATCATATCCTTTAGTTGAACAGAACGTATGGCAACGATTAGATAATTTTTAAGATGATATAAATTTTGTGTATTCTGAGTTAAAAAATGAACGAAATGTAATACTGTTAAGTGAACCTAGGGCCAGAGTGTCGCTATGGTAAACAAATATAGTGAATTTTAAAAGAGTGCATTTATTCTATTGTGGTTTATGCGATATCGACGAAGTAGATTTTATTCAATCCAATAAGTTTAAATGAAATGCAAGAAAAAAGGGGTGTAAACTCGGTAAAGGGGTAAAACTCGAATTTTAACGTATTTTCGTCATTCAGATCTTCTTTCGTCTTCAGGAAAGCGACTACTACAATTTGCATAATACATGGATCACAAGAATCGCTATCTGACTAAGTACGAGTATTGTATATTTATTTTAAAGTATGACATTTAGCAAGGTCTTCCCAACTTTTCTAGTAATCAGTGGGGTGCCTTTTCTGGAAACTGACTCTCAAATCCTCTCGATGGTTCTGAAAAAAGGGTAACATCGATTAACTGGTCCTAGATGTTTCTAGGAGCTTATACCGCTGTACATAAACGCTGCATCACGTATAGATTCCAGTTGTCTGCCAAGTGAATTATTCAGACATATGTGCTGAATTTTAACCCTTTAACGGGCCCAAGCCATTTATTTTCAAAATTGATATTTTATACAACTATTAGGAAAAAGTAGCTCGTTTATGACTAAAAATACTATTTTTGAAATTCTATTGTTGTTGTTTGTAATAGTGGTGGATATGTATAAAACAAGATATGTATAAACGCAAATATGTATAAAACAAGATATGTATAAACGCAAATATGTATAAACAAGATATCGCCCGGTATCAGCAATCACATTTTACTGATTTGTGCAAAAGAAAAAAATCATAATTACAAAAATATTACAAATAAACATGTATTTTTTGATGGAAACTATTTATTCTTGATTATTTAAATATGTATAAAATTTATAATATAAAATTCACATATACAATTTATTATAGAAATAAATACGTATAACCAAATGCAATACTTCTACTGAGTTTCATGAACTTTCTCCTCTGACTGGCATTGTGGGTTCCAACATTAGTTATTCGGATTTCGGAATAGTGTTTTTCTTTTACGCTGATACCCAGTTTGATTGTTAGTTTTCGTTTCTTACTAGAGAAGCCTCCTATTAGGCCGCGAGCTACTCTCAACCTAAATTGAAGATGAGACTTTCTTGACACTTTATGAAGTCCACATATAAAATATATGAAATGATAAGAGAAGCATCCAATAGAAAATAAAATAGTAGATGTTACCATTTATTTGATCTCTTACTTGTACTCTATATTCCAAACTTTCAGAAATGGAACCATCGTCTTTTTTCCCCAACTTCAAACTAATATAGCTAGCCATTTGATGCGTCTGATCTAGCCCAAATCTTATATCCTCCTTTTACAGGCTTCCCTGGCACATATTGTTTCATTCTGGACCTTTGAATTTTATCATTTTTTCATCAATAGATTGCACTGATGAGTTTAAATATATTTCTCGCATTTTTTTTTTCTAAACGGGTGATCAAAGAACGCACTTTGTGTAATTTGTCAAATCCTGGCTTATTTCGAAGTACAGCCTTTTGATTGCCATTGAGATTTCCTGATTATTGAAAAAATAGTCAGAAGACTAGTACAAATTTAAAGCAGCTAATTTATTGATTCCCATCATAATTAGGATTCCCAAAAAAGCCTGCAGTTCTTATTGCGTGAGGGAGTCCTTTTTCGGAATCTTCAGAATCTGAAGACAGTGGAAAATAGAGCTCTACAGCTTCCTCGGTGGTTATTTTTTTTCCATTTCTTCAATGCGTTTACCTAAAATAATATTCATTACATTTAATTAGTTACTTATATTTTGAAATCACTTTAACATACTGATCAGTATATTACCTTTATATTAGCATTCTAATTCTATATTCTATTTATTTTATTATAGCATTCTAACTAAAGTAATATTTTAATTCTAATTTCTAAATGCATAAATATTTATAAAATCCTAAATAAATGCTAAACTATTTTCCATAATATTTATAATAATTAATATTAGAAACAATTAATTATTGAAATGACAATATAAAAGTATTAGAATATATATGTATACAAAGAAATCAAGTACCATGCAAAATGCTATTTCAAACAAAATGCTATTTCTAAAGCTAAACATGCAAAGTAAAACATGTAAAGTTCTAAAGTAAAACTGTGTTTCGATCAGGCAGTGATCGAAACACAGTTTTACTTTAGAACAAATTATATACCACCTCTAAAATCACTAAGCGTGCCGTGGTAAATATTTTACCACCAAACGCAAATATGTATAAAACAAAATATTTCGCTATTTTTTTAAATGCATAAGATACAAAATATGTGAATATATAGCTTTTAACTTATTCTTATATATTATTACACAACAAAATAAGAAAAAGCGTACGTGTTTACCCTCTCCATTTTGCTTGAAAACTGGGTGAATGCAGAAATGTTGCAGTTTACGTGGCCCCTACTGCCATCTTTTAGAGAAAATGTGAAGCTCTGGTTCCAGAGGATAATTCCTGATATCGTACACTAGTAAATAATTTTCCGTGTGCTGCTAGAGAACAAATTGTCTAGTGGTAAGATATTTGCCCCCGCCTGTAAAAGGGTTTTAAACTGTTAAACTGAAATTTTAAGCGTTATTCAAGCATTTTTTTAAATTATACTCAGAGAAGGAAATTTTAAATTTTAAATTATGCACTTCATCTATTAAATTGCTTCTTGTCCTTTGAAAATATATAAAAGTAATTTAAAAATTTATAATCTTAGTTTTGTTACTCATAAATGTTTATTTTATATATTGTTGTACTTAAAAACTTTTACTGTTAAATAAAATTTGTTTTTCTTCCTCTTATTCCTACTTGAAACATTTAAGATAATCGCGAAAATTTAGGAGTCGTCCCACTAGTATGTAAACGTGTAAAGAAAAAATACAGAGTCATGAATTATGTACTGTTTATGGTTGTTTAGAATGTATACCTGAAAGGTACTAAAATATATCATAATAAAAACTTCTTTTATACAGAGAGGAACTTTGACAGTGTGAATATGCTTCTTTTAAGAACTGCATTTTCTAGTTTTTCCTGACAACACTTCCTAATATAATATGCATAAAAGCTAAACATTTTATTAATCTGTAAATTTGGAGTGTATCCCTTACCAATTTTTAGCGCATATTTGTTTGTAGAAAGATAAATAACTTGTAATATATGCAACTCATTATGTAAATGTTTGACAGGCAATTTATAACCTCCATCAAAATGATATTATTCACCGAGACATCAGAGCGTCGAATTTTATTCTTTCGACTGAGGGTGACATAAAACTAATCGACTATGGTAAGTGTTTTAAGCTTTTGTATTTTCTTTCCACATACGACAAAAGAGTGCATTATAATATGTCAACGTAGAATATTAAGTGTTCGACCGTAGCAATATTTATGAAGAATGCGTATGCTAACGGCAGTGAAAATCGAAACATGTCTGAGAACAGAGAGTTGTTTCTTAGAGAATATTGTTGAACACTGACGAATATACGCAAGCAATTAAAATATTTGACCATATTATAGATATTTACTGGTTAAAGATATAAAAGTTACATTTTTTTCAATTGATATTCAATTTAAATATTTAGGTAAAGAGAAAACTGCTAATGAAAACTTATAGTGTATGAAGTAAGCTTCAAGTAATCCATAAAAATATGAACAAAAATCATTTTATTTCTTTGTTTAAATTCATAATGGATTAAGATACTTTTTTACTATAATGCATATTATTTTAGCGTGACAATTACTTCAATATTCTTAATAATTAAAAATTATTTCATCATAGATTACTTTTGATAGGATTATAAATCTTCTAATTTTTTTTCTGTTAATTTATGATAAGAAGCACAGTGGAGAATATAAATAATGCTAAAAATAACCAATAGCAATGAACACCTAATTCGTTAACCCAGTCGATAAAATAATCATGAAGATGGGGGCTATGGCTGCTGTAGCAAAGCCTCATATCTATGTGCAGGTAAGGAAGTACTAGATTCAATTCACATTCGATCCCTCTGGCATTTTAATGCTGCAATAACCCAAACCAAAAGGGCAAAATATTCAACAGACAAAATTTCCATGTAACTACTTTTGCAAATATTGGCTATTGTTTTAGTGGTATGAAACCAGAAATGGTAATACCGATTTTAAACCCATATTCTTTAAATAGATGAATAAACACTAATTTATATATGCAATTATTTGTAAAACTCTCAGCTTTAAATAAATTCTCGTAATTAAATAATTTTAAATAATCTCGAAAGATTCTCGTAGATTACTTTTATATACCTAGACCTAATCATAATAAAGCTTAACATAGAATATTCTCATGTATATGACATAAACTCAGCTTTTAATAATTTATTTTACAGTTCCGAAAGAACAATACCTATGGAAATGCAAATATAGATGCGATTTAAGCTAACATTTGCGAAGTATTAATTCAACAAACAAGAAATTAACTTCCCAAAAATGCTTGAACAATGTACTCATATATTACACAAGTTTATATCTCTTGAGCATTTTCATATGACCTGAAAATTCAGAGTCTTTCCGATATCAGAATCTAACTACATTTCTGTTTTTTTTTTTTTTTTTTTCCTAATCAGAGCAAATTTGAAATTTGAATGCACTGTTCAACTGATATCCTCGATTAATATGAACAAAATCACATAGTATCAACACTGCATATTGGAATTCTTTGTTTCGATTCTAGAAATTTTTATCACTTTGAGATACAATTTTACACTCTTTAGCGTCATTGTGTTTTCAGACTAAATGCACATGCTTTCGAACGAATATCTGCAAAGTTTTACACTAACTAAAATTTAGAGGGTTCAAAGTGAAATGTATATTCTTAAAAGTACAACAGAATGAAATTAATTACACATTAAGTCTAAAACTATTCTTTCTTATTTTCTGAATTAACAATTGACTGAATATTGGGGCATTTTTATTTCATTCTTTTAAAAGTGCTGATAGTTACAAAACGTAAACTCCTTCACTTTCAATTTTGGTAATTGGTATTTCTTTGCAACAGTGTTCTACAGTTTGTTTTCTCTTAGAATTGTACTGAAATAAAAGCAAAAGTATAGAACAAAACTAGAATTTTTATATTTTAATTAAAACTTGATAAAAAAGTTAATTCTAAATACCATATAAGATCTCCTTTTATTCTACCCTGATTTTCCATGATACGATATGCTTGGAATTTTCATAACCTTCAGATTTCGCTAATTTAAAATGATGCGTTATGTCACCATTATACTCGAATCCCAAAAGGTGCTGAACTTAGACCTTATAGGAGACTATCAGACAGATTCATAACTATTGGTGCTATGAATACTACAGATATATATTAAAAGAAATTAAATTGTTCAACTGCCGAAACCTTTCCTTTGAATGAATGACTGAACATCTGCCAATTAGAGTGATAATATCTGTTCAATAATCCGTAAGCTAAATTCGAGAAATATTGACTTCTAAGTAGGAGTCAAGTTCTACCAGTGTCCAAGAAGTGAAGTCGCTGAAAACCGATTGTTCAATCTGATTTCAAAATCCGGTGAATTAGCTGTCAGTTTTCGCTATTTTCTCTATATGTAACTTGGTTCCCTTTAAAAGTCCTGTACAGAGACAGCTCTCTGTTTTGAATATGCCTTCGTGTGCATCACAATAATTAAAAAAAATGTGCTGTGTTATACCAGTAAGGGTATATCCACAAAATAATATAATCCGTAAAGAAATTCTAAAATTTATAGATCAACTTTTCAATCTGGAAAAAAATCTACTAACAAATTAAAGCAATGAATAAACATATTAATAAAATCTGCATTTGCTAGAAGTTTCTTCATTAATTCGCAATTTCAATAGACTTTGAGTGATAATCGTCAGCACCGTAGAAAATCCGACTTAATGCTTGTCATATTTTAATTAAAGAATTTGGAGTTTTATTTGTAAAAGCAACTAAGTATAAAAATAAATGATTGCATAAATAAACAAATACTCTGCTCAATGAATTCTAAGATTTTAAAATTTTCTTTAATAGATAGTGTCATGTACCTGGCTGCGGCCAGCCAACCAGCTGTCTACCTCGCGGTCCCCCCCCCGGGGGGTTGACTCAGGCGAACACTTAGCAAGTACTGGTTAGTATCTGTACCTAGGCAGTCTCAACCACGGTGGTATATAATTTGTCTTCACAGGACTAGAGCCCGAGTATTGTACTCAGGTTGTTTCAGGTTTGGCAGGGACCCTACTGGTACTGTCGTGTCTGTTCCTTCGGCTCTGGGGGAGCTATATGGAAGATTTATCGACTGAGTTCCCTGGGGTTTGACCCCATTCAGTTCTCGTGGCGGGGATTGACAAAGTGGACAGAGCACCTATCTACAATGTCGTTTTGCCGATGGAGTGGTGCCCGGAGGCAAGGTGACAGAGTTTCAAAATAGCAACGTTTTCGTTCTGCCCAATGCTTCGTAAAAGCCAGGCAGGGACTGCGGGGGTTGCGCCCGCGAGAACGAGGTCCCACGGACGTTCGATGTTCCAAACTCTGAATGGGTCCCGTATAATGAGGACCTGAGACGGAGGTCCTTCGTCTGGAGTGTCTGTCTACCTCGCGGTAAGAATCCAGCAAGTGAGACAGACGAGAGCTGTATACAGAAAGTTTGGTAGGGGGTTTACGCCTAAGTTCGAGTTTCGATTTCAGCCAGCGTGGCTGATTAATTTGTACTCCTGATACCCCACTCCTGACACCATGCTGTCATGCTTGTCGGGATGGCAGAGATACATTATTGGAAAATGAATCCTTTATTATATAAAAGCACAACTTTTATGTACGAATATTTACATGACGTTGATATTATATGATTTAAGAAAATAATTCCAATGAAACACAGTTGTTTAATACCTTACAAATTAATCAACCAAGCTGGTTAAAATCGAAACTCGAACTCAGGCGTAAACGCCCTACCACACTTTCTGCAGACAGCTTTCGTCTGTCTCACTTGCTGGATTCTTACCGCGAGGTAGACAGCTGGTTGGCTAACCGCAGCCAGATACATGACAGATAGTCATGTATTTATTGTTTAATCTCTCTGAAATCGTAAGTGATAATCCAAATTAGTAGATGAAATATTAAATAGAATTACAGTCAAATTTTTCCTGTGGCATATCCGCTTTCCTTATTCACTGCATGTTAAGGGAAATATGCTACCAAAGGGGAATGCACCAATTTGACATATCCCCCTTTGCTGACCCGTTCAAAATTTGCTTGGTTTAACGATTTATTTTCAAGTATTGCATTGTAAGCAATACTGTAATTTAATTTATTTAAAAGAATAAAAAATTCAAATATAATAAATAGTTAGAATTTGTTAATGCACGAAACATTATGAGTATTATAGATATTTGTGATATGAGTATATATTTTGGTTGCATAAAAAGTAACTTCGTTTTTGTATCGAGAAAGATATTTACTCAATTTTACTCATTAATTTTTATCAAAGTGCATAAAAAATATAATTCACATATAAAAGCACCTAATTACCACATAAGCCGATAAGGACGAAGATAAGGGATCCAGAGTCCCAAAATGTTTTGTGTAATTCTTTATAATCCTTGTTTTACTCATAAAAACTAGGAAAAAAGAGTTTTGAAGAATGTGTATCGCCCAGACTTCCTGAGTCAGAACCTGGTTTAACTGACAGTGAAAAAAGCAATAAGATGAGTATGTATGTTATAAGAAACTTATTTTCTTTCTGCACACAAATCTTCTGAATTAAACTGTAACATTAGTTTTCTGGTAAATTTTGACATTGCATTTGAAGATAAAAGCTGATAAGCTGTGCTGTCAAATCCTATGACGACATGTTATTCGGCTTTTGTTTCTAAAATGCTCATTTTTACGTCCAAAAAAAACTGGGAAACTGTAGTTTATTTCTATACGAAGTGAATCTATAAAGTTTTAACAGTGTATCTTTCAAATCAAAATTTATAAAGTAATAGTTATGTGATAATTATTACAAATGATAATCATTAAATTATTTATCTTTAAAGAAAAAAATTTAAATGTTAGTTTTTTTTTATTTTTTTTGTCTCATTATGTGCAGTGGTTATTTGAGGATAAGAATTCTAAAGACTGAACAAGGTGATTATATTTTCTTCATTTAATGTAAAAATAGAATCAAAGACTTCTCTAAAAAACCGAGTCCTGCAAAACCATCCAGAAATACTAAGAATTTGTTAAATGTCATACAGTAATGTAAAGAATGAGTGTAGAAGGCTAAGCAGTAATAATATTTT